TGTGTTTAAATAAAGATTGTCAGTGTTTTAACCTCCAGAACTGTGTCTCATCTGGTTACTGGAGGGAAGGAAGACTGAACCCCTGTGTCTGCTGTTGCAGCTTGAAGGGGATGCAGTGGGGTAAGTCCTTGTAAGGACTAAAAGTGCTAGTTCTCCCATCCATTTCCCCTGATCCAGCTAGGAAGCAACCCCTCTGGCGGAGGTACCCAGCCGGGGTACAGGGAGCTGCTCTGCACACTGTAAGCAGAACTGCAGCGGAATAGGCAGAGGTGACGATACCTGTCTACAAGGAGAGCTGCAGAGGAATAGGCAGAGGAGACGATACCTGTCTAGAAGGAGAGCTGCAGAGGAATAGGCAGAGTAGACGATACCTGTCTAGAAGGAGAGCTGCAGAGGAATATGCAGAGGGGATACCTGTCTAGAAGGAGAGCTGCAGAGGAATAGGCAGAGGGGACGATACCTGTCTAGAAGGAGAGCTGATGAGGAATAGGCAGAGGGGACGATACCTGTCTAGAAGGAGAGCTGCAGAGGAATAGGCAGAGGGGACGAAACCTGTCTAGAAGAAGAGCAGTAGCCTGGTCAAGTGGAAGAACTCCTGAGAGACCCCAGTCAAGCTTCTGCGATTGGGGCGAAAGCATTCCAGGGTCCCTGCAAGTGGCTAGGAAGCGGATTGGGGGGAGGTACTCAGTCGGAATACAGGAGCTCTGTCATAGTAGGCTTTGTCCTGATTACAACTCCATTGCCTGTTCTTATATTGTTTGTTTTTTTTCTTACCATGACTGAATTACTTTAGGCAGGTTCAGTTAAAATCATTTTAAACATCTGAATTAACCTCTAATTTTTAATCATTGTACTTTTTTAGTTAGCTAAACCTCGTTGAACAAATTATAATCCTGATATTTTATCCTATTAACTTAACATTGAGAAACAAGCAAAAATATATATATGGTGTAAACAGATGAAACAAAACCTTCATTCATCAATCTTTTTGTCATTCTTCAATTATTCTTCTAATTTTCTTTGAACCCCCAGTGGCTCCGGGCAGGACTTGGAGTAAAAGAACAGGAGATTCCTGGGGTGATAAACACTTTAAGAACCTACACTTTACCAACAGAGAATTATGTCAATCATTCCGGGGACATTGTTGCAGTGGTGGAGACAATACGGACCATCTCATTGATGTCTGTGGAAAACGATGTAAAAATGAACTCCAGCACAATTATGGTTAGTATTATACTTAAAATTATCAAACTGAGGTAAGCTTAAATACCTTTTGCCATACAGTATATTACAGGGCTCGACAAAAGTCGCCATGTTGACTAGAAATTTTCCCCTTGCGTCTGGAATTTGTCAACTTTTTAGCTAAAGCGGTCAGCTGGGCAAATAATGGAGCCGGAGCAGAGAGGAGCTGCAAGTAGATTACTGCTCCCTCCAATGCAGGAAGAGAGAGCAGCCCTGCTGGACCCCAGAGAAATATCCGCTCAGCTTTCCCAAAGGTAGTGTGTGTGCCTGTTTAGGTACCTGCCCCCTCCAATCACGATTGGTGTTTTTACTCACCTTTTTTCCACGCAGTGCAGGTTTCGTCGTGGCTTGTCCCGCCTCCATAGCTGAGTTAATCAATCTTTATAATCTGAGCTAAGGCAATGCTTTTTCTATAGGAAAGCATTGGGTGGATATTACGCATGTTCTCTCTGGGTAACATTCCGTGCAGAGCACTGACACAGGACTCTCTAATGGCTGTCTATGTGGCTGTCACTAGAGGTCTCAGTAGGCAGCAATGTAAACACTGCCTTTTCTCTGAAAATGCAGCGTTTACATTAATAAGGCTACAGGGACAGGCCATAGACACTAGAACTATATTAATCTATAGTGGTTCTGGTGACTATAGTGTCCCTTTAAAAAAAAAAACAACAACAACAGCTGCCTCCGAACTTTTTAAGCTGGCTCCTAGACTCCAAACAAACTTGTCAAACCCTGTTATCTTATACTGTAATTTGCAGTGATAAGATGATGAGCCAATTTGTTGACTGGGTAAATCTCTCTTGGGTAACAACCTCCTTCTAAGTTATTAATCAAATTTTAATGCAAAGCAAGATCGCACATCAATGAAAATGTTTAACCTTTTCAAATATTAAAATTACTGTCTACAGAGATTAGCAGAATATACATTTGTTGAAATGAATCTTCTTGCAGTTTGGTCCTCAATGTTCCATTAATCCCCGTTTACATATCCTTAGAGCTTACACACGCTCAGGGAATCACAGGAACAGGAGTGTGTACACTGCCCAGGCCTTCACGGTCTGTATTACTGTACTTTTGTAATGATTCGACTCTAGAACTGTGCGGCTTTAAAATACATTCCAATATTCAACAAAACAGAATACTATTTAACACTTGTATGAAAGGTTGAAGGACTAGATCATTATATACCAGCCTAAATGGATGGTGACTCAACCCGTCAGACATTTTAATTCCAGACATTAATCTAATCTAGACATTAATAGTGTCAACATTTAAATGCAACATTTATACAGAACACTTTTTTTTCTCTGTATATATTTTTACTTGTTCATGTTTGGGACTTTTTCCTGTCCAACCACTGTACTGTATGATCAATGGTAGCGAAATTTACTTTTAATTCTTCAAATCCAAACTACAGCTCTGTAGTTATTGCTAAAAAAAAAAAAAAAACAACTCATACATGATTCAGTATGTTCCCATTGGAATGCTGGCTGAGGATAACTGCTCATCTGATCCTCAACGACACAAACGAACAGACAGTTGGAGAAAGCATCATAGGACTCAGTAAATAACTGTTTTATGATGGTTTGCCATTTACTAAGGTGCCTCCGGGCACTGAGCCTCAAATGTTGGCATCTGAGCTACATCCATCTTTGGCTGATCTGTAGAAGCTGGATGCTGATCCTGTCTTTTGGCTCATTGATCAATGAATGCCAAGGGGCCCGTCTCTGCAAGCCTTGGGCGATGAATTGACATTAGCCGGCCCAGTACTCTCATTCTGGGCTGGCTAATGTAAGCTGCCAGAGATGGAGTTACACCTTTCCCAAGCCACTTATTTACAAAAGTCAAAATTTAATTCTATAGAAGTCATTGTAGGTAAATAATTTGGACTTTTTTCCCAACAGTATTGAATCGTTTGCAAAGCTTATTATCTTTAGGCCTTATGACAACTAAATAGATATCTTGAGGTGGATTGTTTTAGTGACCTTCACCAATCACCTCTTTTATCACTATTTCAATGGCTATATATCTTAGCATACATTTTCCAAATTCAGCTTGAATGTCACAGTAGTTCACTGGTTACTAAACAACTCTCTTGATGTTCCTTTACGTTTTTCAGGACTTTGTTGCATTATGCAGTCAAATCTTGGACTATGATGTAGATTCCTTGTGGTACGATGCACGTCTTGACGTTACTTCCTTGGGGTCCATCTTTATGCAGTCAGTTGAGAACATGACCAGAATGCTAGAACTGGATGAAGAAACATTTCAACTTTTTGAGCCAAATATTTTCCTAGATGTTATCGTTCTGAGTAATATCTCCATAATGGACTACAACAGAACATTCTATGCAAACCCCAATGTCGAGGTATACATTCAGAATACTGTACTACAGAAACTTCTTGAACAAGGCAATATTACAGTTACCAGTATGGCGATTAAGCAATTAGCTAACGTGCTTCCTAATAATTATGATGACAGCCTTGAGGGCTTTGAACACCTAATCAAAAACCATATCCTAATCAACACTATTACGACAAAGAACATCACTGTGAGAGAGGCAGATATCGAGATGATTTTTACCCTAACAAATGAAGAAAATAAAACAAGCAGTGAATTTGGTCAATGTGTGTTTTGGGATTATACCTTATTTGAAGGAGTAGGAGCCTGGTCAAATGAAGGATGCCAATCTTTCCTTGTCGACAACAGCACAATGTGTCAATGTAACCACCTAACACCCTTCTCAGTACTAATGTCCGGTTCTGGGTTTCTTGAGGGTTTCCCTCTGAAACTTATTCGTTACATTGGTCTTATCACGTCCATCATCTGTCTAATTATTTTGTTAATCATATACATCTTTCGATGGAAGTCAGTGGTTACGAACAAAATTTATTTTTTCCAACACACAACATTGCTCAATATTGCTGTGTCTTTGCTCATTGCTGATGTCTGGTTCTTGGCATCTTCCTTTGTCGTCAAGAAGCATTCAAATAAAATTTGTATATCAGCGACCTTTATCAAACATCTCTTTTATTTATCCATGTTTTTGTGGACACTTTGCCAAGGGCTCATTCTGCTCCACCAACTGGTCCTTGGTTTTCCCAAGCTCAGCAGGCGGACATTTTTACCCATTATGGTGGGGATTGGATATGTTTGTCCATTTGTTATTGCTTTGGCGACTCTTGTAATATATTATCCAAAGCACTCATACATTCATGAAGGAACCTGTTTTCTCAATGAACACAATGAAGCCTTATATGCTTTCTCGATACCAGTTCTTATTATTGTTCTATTGAATATACTAACAATGGTGTTAGTTGTCTGGAAATTATTGAGACCCACAGCCTCTGAGGGACCTGGTGGAGAAGACAAGAAAGCTCTGGTATCAATGCTGAAAGCTCTCCTTATTCTTACAGTAGTCTTCGGCTTCATGTGGCTTATTGGAATTATGACAATGATGTGGGACGTTCATATATTGTTTCACTATGTTTTTGATTTTAATTCATTTCAGGTAAGTTAGCTAAGCGTGGGCAATTATATGCAGAGAAGATACTAAGGCTGAAATGTTATTTCATATTATAGTAAATTATTTATTATAGTAAATTTTGTAAATAACTTATTAGTTTTACATTTTCCAAAGAAGCATTTCACAACAGCGTAGAATACAGTATTCTGTCGACCATGGTTCAAATACTTTAGTTTTTGAGTTGCCTTTTCTGTCATTGGCCAAATCAGTTTGTAATTTTCAAATTATCGTGGCCAAAGTGATTTTTTTTTTTTTTTTTACATATGTAAATCCTAGATTGAGAGCTCTGTTTTCCGCCTTTCACAAAAACTTTAATTTTTTTTTTAATGAAAAACTCAATAAAAAAAATAACCTGAAATGTGCACAAGACAGAACTTCTCCACTGCTTCTGAGTATTTCTTCCTAGATCACGTATGGGACATTAATTATTAAACAGAGCAAAGTTACTTAATCACTGGGCTCTGTTTAAGGTCGTGATGATATTTGCAGGAATACCAACGTGATAGGTTAATAGGGCATGCCTGGACAGCACCGAGTGATCTGTTGAATAGGTGGTCAACTGCAGGGAAGCCTTTGAAAACAGAAGTGCATGTAGAGCCTTTTTTTCTAGTCAGTTTAAAGGAGCACTCCAATTTAATGTTGGAATTGTTTCAACATTAAAAGGATGGACTAACAGACACCTAACTGTAACCAGACAGATGTACGCACAGGAACAGAGGAGTTGAGGGCCCAGCTCAAAGAGTTTACATGCTAGAGATTAATGCTGATAGATTGACAAAGCATCATGGCAGTTGTAGTTCTACAACATCTTGAGGTTCTACCTCTTGGGCAGCTCTGCACTAATGCCACAGAAAATATTGCTGGATTCCTGCTGTTACAGGATACATATTAATTGTTAAATAATGTATGCACCTCCCCAGACTCATTCACATGTACCACATTCCTGCAGCTGACCGATATGTGTACAGTTACTATTAGTATTATGTGCATACTTACAGATACATTCATGTAAAAAGCTGTAATATTGCGGATTCTGTCTCCCCAGGGCCTTTTTCTACTGATATTTGGATGCCTTATGGACATAAAGGTGAGGGATAGACCTTCGTTAAGTTGAAAATCTCATGAATTCTATGATAGGAAACCATATGAATTGTGTCTCACTACAGGTCAGACTGGCTCTTTGTGATATGTTTCACAGGGTCCAAGCTTCCTGCCCAACGCTTCCACCCCTGGACTTGTGTGGGAAGTGCTCGTATTCAATGGTAAGAAAACCCAACACAGAGCCTCTATAATTCACATACTCCATGCTTGCCTTCGTTTCATTTACAGGTTGTTCACTAAAATCTGAAAAGTATAATGTTTACTGGCATTAATAAAGCACCAACATTTTACACAGCACTGAACATACTCTGGATTATCAACATTTTGTGAAAAATCACAATATTTTCCTTCCCAGGATTCCAAATCAGATATTTATCAGATAGCAAATGCAGCTATTCGCACCAAATGTGCGCATTCAGTTAGAAACAATTCAGCAGATAAATTGTCTGATTACTCACAAAGACTTGGCTGTCCCACTCTGATAGCGATACTTCTGCTTCCTTATGTTTTAGTGGGCTACAATTCTCCCACACTTCCAGACCAAACAACTGTAGAGGAGGCGATGTAGGCATCCTCCTCTTCGCTCAATGTACCTTTCAACCAATCATCCCTCCTCAGTCTTTTCCTTCTTTTGAAGTTTGCCTATTTAAACCCACTCCTTTAAGAATTGCCATCATCTACCCCCCCCCGGTCATCCTAGGCCAGGGCCAGACTGGGGATACAAAGCAGCCCTGGAAAAAAACAAAATCTATGCCAGCCCCATAAGTCATTGCGCCATATATTGTCACATGTAATATGTAAGGCTTTGTCTTGCCACCCCAGATAATTGAGTAATATATAAACACACACACACTATATATTGCTTTTTCTAGTGTAAAATATTGGTCCTTTCAGAGTAAAATGTTTAATTATACAGTAAGCATACTCACATGCAGACACAGACAATCTCACTGACACACATCCTCATAGACAAACAATCTCACTGATATACATAAGCTCATTGACATAAAAGCACATGCTCACTCAATAGCAGGCACGCACACACCTTGTAGTGGTTCTGGTGTCTATAGCCTATCCCTGCAGGTCTTTCAATGTAAACACCTTTGCTTCCTAGTGACACCTTTAGTGACAGTCACTCATACGGTCACTAGTATTGCTTCCTGTGTCAGTGCTGCACAATGTGCAGCACCTACATTCAGGGCCTCGACGCTCTGGAGACACTGACTGTTCCCCATAGAGATACATTGATTGAGGAGATGCTGATTGGTGTAACGTTTTTCAGCCAATCCTATGGCAAAGCATTGGATTGGCTGAGATCATCAAGCTTGTTGATCTCAGCCATAGAGGCAGGACCAGTCGAGGGGAGACCAGCAAGGAGTGGGGAAAAAAAAAAAGTGAGTAAAAACACTATTTTTAAAACACACCCCATAACACACACATATACCATGACAGACACACACACTCCATGACACCGACACACATAATTGCTATCTCTGGGCAGACAGATGTATGTGCTAGATGGCTGCAGGGGAAGCTGTGATGGCGGCTGATGGAGAAGCTGTGATGTCTCTGCTCTGCTTCCCAGCGTGCAGTTTAATGAGACCAGGGCCCGAGGGCGGGGTAGCAGAGCAGAGACATCACAGCTCCTCCAGCGGCTGCCATCAGAGCTCCCCCTGCAGCCACCCAGCACATACAGCTGTCTGCTTGGCCCCAGGGTCCGATGGCCCACCGGGAAATTTCCTGGTAGGCCAGTCCGGCACTGTCCTAGGCTATTCATTGAGCATGTTTCTTCCTGGCTACCCCATTTCCTCTCCTCCAGTACTCATTCCCTTATACTTTGGGATTTCAATCAACAACCTCAACTGCCCTGATGCCTCCCGTCTGCTCTCTGTAGCCTCCTTTGGCCTCTCAAAATAGTCTTATTTAGAAACCCATACAGCGAGAAACACTCTTGATCACGGCTTCACCAATCTCTGTACCGCCTCTAATCTCTCCAAAGTGACATTTCATCTGCCCACCATCTGCTGACCTTTGACATCGACATACCCCGTACCCAAATTACACCCCCCTTCGGCACATCTATTTCACAGAAACCTGCACTGGTGGTTACCAACCCAGTCCTCAAGTACCCCCGAACCATCCAGGATTTAGGGATTAGCCAGTTGTTAATTAGTCTCTCAAAAGTCCACATATGTGTAGTTAAAACATAACTTTTATTGACCACTATAAATAAAATTATAAATAATAGACAATAGGGACTTCCTACCTGTGACTCCAGGGGTGTTGTTTCCCCCTGGAATCCTTTCTTTTGTAATTAACACGTTAAGTGAGGGTTATCCCTTTTTTGGCCGTCCCTGACACACATTAAGCTAGCCCTCCCCCTCCCCACCCCCCCACCCTGGGGTGTTAGTTCTCTCTTTTGATTAGCCAGTTGTGTCTAAGATGTTTTTAGAAAAAAAAAAACACTTTAGAGACAACAGGTAGAGGGTACTTGAGGACTAGGTTGGAAACCCCTGACGTAAAGCAATTCTTCACCAACCTCCAAACTCTCCTTTTACCTCTCTCAAACCTCACCTGGCCTAGCTCTGCAACCTCTTTCCACCCTCTCAACTCGACATCATGGCACCTCCTATACTTAAACACAGCAAGCGCTCCCAACGACAACCTTAGCACACCAAGCTGACCCATTACCTGCAAAAATGTTCCAGAACTGCTGAACACTGCTGGAGGTCTCACTCTGCTTCTGATTTTCTTCACTATAAAGTTATGCTGAGCTCATACAGCTTGGCTCTTTCCTCTGCAAAAGTAAATTACTTCAACACCGTCATAACCACGCTTAACTCTCTTCTTTGCACTGTTGCCCATCATTCTCCAACCAACTTGACCACCACAAACTTTGCAACTCACTTCACTGAGAAGATCTCCACAATAAGAGACCTCTCTCCTTCCCCTAACAATACATCGCCCAACCCCACTCCCTCCGCTGTTCTATGTTCATTCACACCCACCACAGTGGAAAGGTTTTTGCTATGTTTCAGTTCTCCTGCCCCACCACCTGCTACCTTGATCCTATTCCCTCGCATGTCATACGCTCCTTCTTTTGCTCGGCCTCTCACTACAAATCTCAATCTCTCCTCAGGCCTATTTACATCACCCTTCAAATATGCAACTGTAATCAATAAATGATTCTAAAAAAGCCCAACCTTGATCCTAACTCCACATCCAACTACTGCCCTATCTCGCTACTGCCTTTTGCACCCAAGATCCTTAAAAGAGCTGACATTTCATTTACAGATGTTTGCAAGACTGATAGACTTCCTTGAGTCCAACTCTCTGCTTTACCTGCTTCAGTCTGGTTTACACTGATTACTCTGTGGATACAGCTCTGACTAAAGTATCCAATTATCTACTTGCTGCAAAATCTCATGCTTACTATTCTATCCTAATTCTCCTTGACCTCCCTACTGCTTTTGACACAGTTGATCATAAAGAGCTTCTTCCCATCATCTAATCTCGTTCTACAAGAAATTGCTCTCTGCTGGTGCACCTCCATCTCCCAGCACGCTTTCATGGTTTAGTTATCTGGCTCTGCCTCTTCTCACCAACCCCAGTTGGTTGTCCTTGGTCCCCTACTATTCTCAATCTATACTGCCTCCCTTAGTAAACTCATCAGCTCCTTTGGTCCCCAAATCTGCCCAGTTACAGTTTATCATCAATGCGGCAGAGAGGCTCATCTTCCTTCCGCCCGCACCTTCCACTCCTCACCCCTATGTCAGTCCCTGCATTAGGTTCATGTAAGATTTAGGGCTCAATTTAAAATTCTGGTTCTTGCTTACAAATCTCTACATAATGCTGCTCCCACCTTTCTATCCTCCATAATACACAAGTATGTCCCCGTCTAGGCCCTATGTTCTGCCGAAGAACTAGATCTATCCTCTGTGCTCCCACCGCTGATGCTTGCCTTCAAGACTGCTCTAGAGCTGCACTGTTCCTTGGAACTCCCTTCCCTTATCAATTAAACTGTCAATAGCACCCCCCCCCCCCAGGATTCCAAAGTGTCCACAAAAACATGGATAAATAAAAGATGTTTGATATCCCCAGATTCCACACCAAGTCTTCAGTGAATACTTTTCTACCCCTACCATTAGTGTAAATATACCCCACTACCTCTAGCATGTAAGCACATTGACCAGGTCCTTCAACCCCGCTGTTCCTGTGTGTCCAACTTATCTGGTTACAGTTACATGTTGGTTAGTCCACCTATTGTACAGTGCTGTGGAATTTGTTGGCGCTATATAAATAATATATATATGAAACCAAGAGGATGCACACATTATAAGGGTGCTCCTGGGGCCAATTCATACAACATACAAGAGCCAGCGCACTTGCCGATTCATTACAAAGCAATTCCAAGTCTCACAGAATTTAATAGTTTTACATAAAAATATCTAACCTTTACATTTTGTAATTCAGAGTTTAGTGAATAAACTATTTTTTTTCTTCCCAGGATCAGAACACTGAGCAGTCAAATGAGGAAAGCTACAGACCGATAGACAACGATACTGAAGTATCATGACGTTCATCACAATAAATCCGGTTTTACCTACCTTCACCAGTCCCAAAGTATTTCCTCTAATCGCATGGTGTGGGCTGACTGCCAGAGTCTCTGGGTGGGTGGGAAGATTCTCTGGGTTTGATGGTGCATAGGCAGTCTTACAATCTAAGGGTGCGCAGATTCTCTGGGTTTGAGGGTACATAGGCTTACAAAGGGCAGATTCTTTGGGTTGACTCATGATGACGCAACTGAGGATTCGTTAGGTGCAGCTCCCAGCATTGACGCGTTTCCAGCTTCTGCAAGCCGCCACAGAGTTAAAATTTACAGCGAAATGCTGGAGATGCAGACTGCAGTATCATGACCACTTCAAATCACTGAAGTGGTTATGGTGCTTGGAGTATCCCATTAAGTTAAAATAGCAGAATTGAAAAGTCACAGCCAAGCTCTTTTGGCCTCAATTCCAATGGTCAATTCACAGTTGAACAAATCATCAGATTGTAATAAAGTTTGACCAATGAAGTGATTTACCTTTTGATTGCAATGGTTTTATTGCCCCTTTCCTTTAGTCACTGCCCTGCAGAGCTATCCCCCAGCTAGCTCACATTGTTACAGCTGCCATGTATCGTTCCCATACAACAGGACTTGTTAGATGTGATGCACACCAACCAGTTCTCCAGCACTCATCCTACAGTGTACTTACTGCCAATGACTAAAGTCAGAGCACCTTGGGGTGCATGAAGATCTCTCCAGTCCTCTTGTATATGTAAAGGTCTCGATCAAAATAACAAAGTACTGAAATAGAAACAAGCACCTCGTAGAACTATTTTGTTAGAATTGTTTTGGTTCTAAACAAGTGATCTTTGACATATAGGGATGAGCTTACTAAACAGTGAGGCATGGCAGGCTGACATTTCATATACAAACGTTTGGTAAAAATAGGCACGTCCCTCAACACCCAACTTATGTTAAAAAGTCCAGCACGTAACAGACACTAATAACTGGGAGTAATTTCTGTGTATAGTGACCACACTGAGAAAGTGCTACTTAAAAACAAATCACTGTAAGAGCAGAACTTCCTCCCAGTACAGAATCTGGAAATCCTCCTGTGATCTGCATAGTAAAAATAAATTTTATTGTGAGTGAAAAATCTGAAATACACACGGCAACTTTTCTAGTTCTCATTTATTAAGGCAGAATAGCTCAGGAGGCCTCGGTTGCGGTCATAGAGGCCCTGAAGGAATTAAAGTGGCAAACATCTTCACTATTGATGTCCAAAGCCGAGATGCAGCTATTATTAAGCAGTTTAATAACTTCTCGAATTTCATTCTCTCGGGGTCAAGCAAGGTGTAGTAATGTCCTACTATGACCATTAGATGGCGCAAAGTGCTCCAGTAAAAAGTGGTGCGTTTGCAGAGAAGGCAACTAAGAAACCATTCACAAAACTGCAGATTTTTCTTGGAAGGATCAAGATGTTTAGTGCATTATGACATTCAGAACATGTCCAGGCCAATTCACAAATCGAGCTTGGATATTACTGGGGATAAAGTTCAACAATCATCCCATGACCCTGAAAATATAAAATATTATGGACTTATTAAAGAGTAGGCAGACGACAAACAGCTCAACAGAGCATCCACACAAGTGTAGTGTGCGCGTGAGAGAGTGTCAGTGTGTGTAATATTAATTTTATTATGTATGCCCACATACAATTTTATTTGTGTGTGAGTGTTTGAGCAAGTGTGCGTGAGCAGGTGTTTGAGTGAGAGTGTGTATGTGTTTGTGCGTGAGCGAGAATGTGTGTGTATGAGTGTCTTGCAGTATCTAGAATCTAGAATGTAGCCAGTGTGCTGTATTACGAATATATATGCGTTTCCAGTGATGCAGAAGACCACTCAAAAAACAAACGTGGGTGTTTTATATGAAAATGATTTACCTGTCCACCAGCTGCACAAGCAGCAACAAGTCCATACTGTCCTCCCTCTTGCTTCAGTCTGTGGGCAGCAGCCATAACAAGTCGGCAACCTGTGGCTCCAAACGGGTGTCCCAGGGACAAGGACCCACCCCACTTGTTAAATTTCTCAAGGGGAGGGGCTCCAACCTGCAAGAGTCAGATGGGAGGTCCATGCAGTTATTGTATAATACCAGAGTTATAACACTATCAAGTGAGTCAATATCAGAATAAAATATATTCCGATCCAATGTCAGCAGCCAAAAGAACCTGGCTATTGCACCCACACTGTGCTCACCCATTACCAACCACCAAAACAGCCCTGCTACGGCACGCACACTGTGCTCACCCATTACCAACCACCAAAACAGCCCTGCTACTGCACGCACACTGTGCTCACCCATTACCAACCACCAAAACAGCCCTGCTACTGCACCCACACTGTGCTCACCCATTACCAACCACCAAAACAGCCCTGCTACTGCACACACACTGTGCTCACCCATTACCAACCACCAAAACAGCCTTGCTACTGCACGCACACTGTGCTCACCCATTACCAACCACCAAAACAGCCCTGCTACTGCACGCACACTGTGCTCACCCATTACCAACCACCAAAACAGCCCTGCTACTGCACCCACACTGTGCTCACCCATTACCAACCACCAAAACAGCCCTGCTACTGCACACACACTGTGCTCACCCATTACCAACCACCAAAACAGCCCTGGCTACTGCACACACACTGTGCTCACCCATTACCAACCACCAAAACAGCCCTGGCTACTGCACACACACTGTGCTCACCCATTACCAACCACCAAAACAGCCCTGCTACTGCACACACACTGTGCTCACCCATTACCAACCACCAAAACAGCCCTGGCTACTGCACACACACTGTGCTCACCCATTACCAACCACCAAAACAGCCCTGGCTACTGCACACACACTGTGCTCACCCATTACCAACCACCAAAACAGCCTCACCATTGTATATTCTGTGCCCACCTGTTACAAACAACCAAACCAGCCCCATCCCCACCCATTGCATATTCTGTGCCCAATAAATAACCAATAGAGCTCCGCTACAGTACACACAGTATCCACCCATCACCAACCACCAAAAGAGCCCTGCTACTGCACACACTGTGCCCATCCATTACCAAACACCAATAAAGCCCGGCTACTGCATTCAATGTGCCCACCCATTACCAAAAACCAAAACAGCAAATGTTTACCAAACAGATAGCAATAAAATCACCACCAGGGGGCAGAATATAATCTTTACTAAGAGTAAGTGCTGCAGTATTAATAACCCCTTAAAGACGGAGCCAAAATGTACACGTTGTGAACAAAACAAAACCTGGCATTTGCGCTACATGTCTGTCCAACCGTAATTCACCTCTTTCATATTAAATGCACCCACCCTTATTATATATCATTTTATTCAGGGGAAATAGGGCTTTCATTTAATATCAAATATTTAGCTATGAAACAATTTCATATGAAAAAATGGGAGAAAATAAGATTTTTTTGAAATTTTTTTAGTTCTACATGACATTTTAACTGTCAATGTCATAATACTGTTTGCTTTTATTGCAATAAAATACACATATTTGTATTCAGCAAAGTCTCACGTGTAAAAAACAGTACCCCCTATATACAGGTTTTATGGCATTTTGGGAAGTTACAGGGTCAAATATAACACGTTACATTTGAAATTCGCCAGACTGGTTACATTGCCTTTGGGACTGTATAGTAGCCCAGGAATAAAATTTACACCCATAACGGCATACCATTTGCAATAGTAGACAACCCAAGGTATTGCAAATGAGGTATGTCCAGTCTTTAGTAGCCATTTGGTCACAAACACTGGCCAAAGTTAGCAATAGTATTTGTTTGTGTGAAAAATGCAAAAAAACGCCAATTTTGGCCAGTGTTTGTGACTAAGTGGCTACTAAAAAAAGACTGGACATACCCCGTTTGCAATACCTTGGGCTGTCTTCTTTTGCAAATGGTATGCCATCATAGGGGTAATTTTCATTCTTGGGCAACCATAGGGTCTCAAAGGCAACGTAACCAATCTGGCGAATTTTAATGTGAAAAAAAAATGAAACACAAGCCTTATATTTGACGCTGTAACTTTTCAAAAACACCATAAGACCTGTACAAGAGGGGTACTGTTGTACTCGGGAGACTTCGCTGAACACAAATATTTGTGTTTCAAAACAGTAAAAAGTATCACAGCAATAATATCGTCCGTGTAAGCGCTGTTTGTGCGTGAAAAATGCAAAAAAAGTCACTTTTACTGGCGACATCATCGTTGTAATACATTTTACTGTTTTGAAACACTAATATTTGTAGAACAGTACCCCCCATGTACAGGTTTTATGGTGTCTTGGAAAGTTATAGGGTTAAATATAGTGCTAGCAAATTAAATTCCCTTTACTTTCAGCATGGGTTGTCAAGCAGGTCCCGCTAATTGTAATTAATTAAAATACCTAATTACGTAAAAATATTACATAAATATATATGTAGAATTAATATGTGTGCACATATACATACATATACACACACACACACACATATATACATACATACACACTGTCTAGGTGTATTTTACTATTAATATATATATTAATATCAAATTACACGGAGACTGATACTGATTAAATATATACAATTATTGTTATATATATTTATATATAATATAAAAAATATGTAAATACGTTAAAATTAAAAAATAAATTAAAAATATATAGATGTTATTTCGTTCTAACTGTGTGATAGATATATATGTGTACATACACACATATATATCTATGTGTGTATGTACACACATATATATCTATCACAATACAGTTAGAACGAAATAACATCTATTTATTTATTTTTTAATTTTAATGTATTTACATATTTTTTATATTATATATAAATATATTTATGAGAGAGAGAGAGAGAGAGAGAGAGAGAGAGAGAGAGAGAGAGAGAGAGAGAGAGAGAGAGAGAGAGAGAGAGAGAGAGAGAGAGAGAGAGACAGAGAGAGAGAGAGAGAGAGACAGAGACAGAGAGAGAGAGAGAGACAGAGACAGAGAGAGAGAGACAGAGACAGAGACAGAGATATATATATATATATATATATATATATAGTAAAATACACCTAGACAGTATGTGTGTGTGTGTGTGTATATATACACACACACACACACACACACACACACACTTAGAATATATATTATGAATGATCTAAGTATATAATTTTTATTTTTACACTTAATTAAATTTAACTTTATTTCCAGCCAGTCATTACAGGCAGCACCCCCTGCTGGCAATGCTGCAGCCAGCTATCCCGGCCATGTGATTGTGAGGTCCTCGCAAGGGGCTGCTAGAGTGGAGATGTGCCGTGGGAGTCCTTACCTTTGTCTTCCGTCCCATGTAATTCTGTGCAAACCAGTCTGAATCCATAGCCTTTAGGTTGGCCAAAATCTGCCCCTGAAACAGAGAATCAAAGGTTTCATGGAATGAGTTAACCAGAAACTTTAACAGAGGACAATCAGTGCAATTAAAATAAATAAAGTTTGTCAGTATATAAGGCAATATTATCTGCACAGACTGGGTATGCGTGTGGTGTATCCAGAAATTTAATTTTTTTTAATGACAAGCATTTGGGAGAACCTCCCTTTCTCAAGTCTGAAGCATTTCTGAGCAAGACGACACATAGAATTCAAAGTGGAGTTGTTTGTTTTTAAAGTTACATGGTCAATTATAAGGCTCGCATTTCCATTTTTTCACATGGAATTTTGCCAGATTGGTTACATTCACAGTGAAAATGCCATGGAGAACATTAAAAAAAATAATAAAATAAATAAATATTTCTTCAGCATGAGGCTGGTTACTGGTTTGCTATTGAGTTTTGGTAGCACTTGGGAAGCAATAAAATCAAAAATGTTTAAAATTAAATGAGGCAAAAATGTGATTCTTTGTAAACTAATTTGTATATGCCCGCCCAGAATCCTTTGCAGTAGTATCATCACTGCAAATTGGTGATTTCTGTGGGAAAAGCAAGTGTTATGGCTTGACTGGTGTGCAGGTCTATGTTTAACTTTGTATTTATATATAGACATACATAACTAGACTGAACAGAGGCTTTCTGATGCTCCGATCTGTTAACACAAAACGCACGGTACCATCTAGGGGTCAACCATTCTCGGACATGAAGAGAAGCCTGACAGGGTTATTTACTAAAAAGGAGAAAAGTGCTTTAAAGTCATTTGAAATTTATGGTCAAAATATATGAGCTGAAAAAATTGAATTCTCAGCTCTGCTTTCAATTTGGCTACTGTGGCCTAGAATTTGAGAAAGATACTTTTGCTAATTACCATGCATGTATTTTAAATTAAATTTAAAAAGCCTACGAGGTGCTCTCCAATCTAGAAAGAATTCGGACAGTGAGAAAAATTAAAGAGGAGCCACTAGTCTACCACAACACAGCCTGAGGAACTGGTTACTTTCACCTCATTCTTTTTGTTTATTTAATTTATTTATTTTCTTATAACCCCAAGTGTCAGTAACGTTAGTAAGGAAATCCTCATCCATCGGTCATTCAAAGCGATTTCCTTACGGACAAGGAGAGATTTTAGAGATTAACTTACAGCAAAAGCCTCGTGGAATTCAAAGACATCAATGTCAGCGAGGGACAGTCCAGCTCTCTCCAGCACTTTGGGAGTTGCATATGATGGGCTGGAACAGAAATGGCTCATTAATTTGAAGTACGAAGGAAAGACACTGACAAACGTGGCTGGGGGGGAACACTGCATCGTATTAACATGTATTTCTTATATGCGAGTGAATAGCAAACCTAGAATACAGAGTGGGCAGACAGCAAGCAATACAACAAACTGGGGTGGGATTTACATTTATATTAAATGTCTGAATGATGTCAGCCATGGAATTTCAAAACAACAAATGGAAAAGATTTGGTGTTTAACAAAATAAATCAGGGGCAATGTTTTAAAAAAGAGGAGCAGTCACCATGGAAACTAGCTACTTCTTTTTGCCCTTTGATATTATATAGAATGCCAGCTTGCTAACTAGCAGCTCTATTTTACTAGTTACAGAGCCAGTTAATGACACACTAAGTGCACGATTTTTAGGAGTTCATATTATCTTGGGAATGTACTTTGGTTTGTAGCAAATCTGGATTATGGATTAAGAAGAGTATATTCTTATCTGGCTTCGCTACAAACAGTCAGCCAAGGGAGCAATATTCAGAACAAACACAGGCCTCAATCTAATTAGCTTTCCAAATGAGTCACATGAAAAAATTCTCAGACTTTAATGGAGAGTGCTGCAGATACACCATTTGGAAGGTTTTGTGCTAACCGACTGGAATCATTGGAAAGCGTATTAAATCCAAGCCATAGTTTGAATGACTACAATATCTGTTACTTTAATACGCTTTCCCAAACGTTGGCGTTTCCGTCTCATATTGGGGATTTCACATTACATCATTTGGTTTGTTTTGCAGACCGTTGCATTCAGAGACACACTTAACTTTTGAACTACATTTCTCCCATTTTGGCACTCCGGGTAGGCTATTTATTTACTTCCTTTAGCCCTGCCGCAGACAAGTGGTATGTTAGATGGGGGCCAGGGAGGAAATAAGTGGTCTCTGGCTCAGGATAAGTAGATTTGTACTTAAAAAATAAAAAAAGTCACACCCTGTGACTCACGGTTTAGTTAGATTATCATTTACATCTCTGAGTAAAACCAAAGTGAGCAAAGCATTAGCCAATCCCATAGGCTTCAGATGTGGTTAAATGTAATTTACCAAAAATTTACAATTAATCAGCAATTCTCATTGAGCAAAGTTACTGCTTCTTTGACATTTTGGAAACGCACTTACCCCAGAAGAAGCTGGTCCTTAGGATCCTGAGACACGAAAACAAAATCCCTAATTGGACAAAAGAGCAATTCAGTTATCAGACCTGGAACAAATATACAAAAACAAACAAACAAAAACAAACACTCATTGTCCAACTCACCGGAGATAAGCCTTAGGCTTGTAACCCAAAGCTAGAGCTTTCTCCTCAGACATAATCAGAACCGCCGACGCACCATCGGTCTGAAACAAGACAACGTGACCCATTTCTAAGAGCTTTCCAGGTTTAAAAGATACATCAGCCAGACTCCCTGCACCTAGCACATCCCAGCATGCACCACCACATAGCCAGACTCCCTGCACCTCGCACATCCCAGCATGCACCACCACACAGCCAGACTCCCTGCACCTAGCACATCCCAGCATGCACCACCACATAGCCAGACTCCCTGCACCTAGCACATCCCAGCATGCACCACCACACAGCCAGACTCCCTGCACCTAGCACATCCCAGCATGCACCACCACACAGCCAGACTCCCTGCACCTAGCACATCCCAGCATGCACCACCACATAGCCAGACTCCCCGCACCTAGCATATCCCAGCATGCACCACCACATAGCCAGACTCCCTGCACCTAGCACATCCCCAGCACAGCAGCCAGACTCCCTGCATCTACCACATCCCAGCATGCACCGCACAGCAGCCAAACTCCCTGCATCTACCACATCTCAGCATGCATAGCACAGTAGCCAGACTCCCTGCATCTACCACATCCCCAGCATGCACCACACAGCAGCCAGACTCCCTGCATCTACCACATCCCAGCATGCACCGCACAGCAGCCAAACTCCCTGCATCTACCACATCCCCAGCATGCATAGCACAGTAGCCAGACTCCCTGCATCTACCACATCCCCAGCATGCACCACACAGCAGCCAGACTCCCTGCATCTACCACATCCCAGCATGCATAGCACAGTAGCCAGACTCCCTGCATCTACCACATCCCCAGCATGCACCACACAGCAGCCAGACTCCCTGCATCTACCACATCCCAGCATGCACCGCACAGCAGCCAAACTCCCTGCATCTACCACATCCCCAGCATGCATAGCACAGTAGCCAGACTCCCTGCATCTACCACATCCCCAGCATGCACCACACAGCAGCCAGACTCCCTGCATCTACCACATCTCAGCATGCATAGCACAGCAGCCAGACTCCCTGCATCTACCACATCCCCAGCATACACCACACAGCAGCCAGACTCCCTGCACCTAGCACATCCCAGCATGCACCACCACATAGCCAGACTCCCTGCATCTACGACATCCCAGCATGCACCGCACAGCAGCCAGACTCCCTGCACCTAGCACATCCCAGCATGCACCACCACATAGCCAGACTCCCTGCATCTACGACATCCCAGCATGCATGCACCACAGAGCAGCCAGACTCCCTGCATCTACCACATCCTGGCATGCACTATGCTACAACTACAGTTTCTATGCAACTGCAGCATCCCCACAGACACCGTTCAGCTCCCACTCCTCGTAGACAACACAATGCTCACACTTCACCATAGACTCCATACAGCTTTCATTAACAGCCACCACAACTGAAAGAGCGCTGCCGAAGCCTCACCGGCACAGCACAGCTCTCACTCATGGAAATCTCCATGTAGCAGTCACAGTATAAAGGATCAGTATAAAAGTTCCATACCAATAACAGGGGCCACTCAACTACATGTGAGGAGTGCGAACTTGGATTAAAACAAAATGGTCATAAATTTAACCAATTGCTAAATGAAAAATATTGAAATCTAAAATTAATCAACGTAGCAGCTAGAACATTTAAGTGTAGAATCTTCTGTGGCAGAAATGCCTCTGCCATGTGTTCTTGGAGGGGCCTGCTTGCCAGCCTCCTGCCAAAAGACTATGGGCCCTTTAAAAGTGTATGAGATGTATGTACTCCATAAAGAGAGGCTGACTGCTGGCCCTAAGTCTCAGGAACGGTTTTGGGCATAGGACCATGTGCACGGTCGGTCAAAATGACTTCCATCGAAATTCCAAACCCCTGAACCAATCTGGGTGATTTTTGGATATGTTGCTCCCCCAGATCGGGGCTATCAGGGGAGGTGTTTTAGGGGTACTTGTTGGGGGTGTTGTTGTGTTGCATGTTTCTTGTACGGAGATATAATTTAATTATATGTTTGTGTACTCAAGTAATTATCTCCCAGGCACATGGTAGGGATTGACCTACTTTGTATGGGAGTGTCCTGGACCTGAGAGCCAGTGTAATCCTGTGTATGTTTTTACTGCAAGTCTACTCTCAGGTCCAGGAGGGAGAGCCCCTTGCATTGGGACCTGCATATAAAGCCACTTGACCTGCCAATAAATGAGTTCCGTTTTCCCCTCATAGAGCCTTTTCTCGTGATTGTAGGGAACAGCTGTACCAGCTATAACCCCTGCTATTGGGATTGTTCTTTGGATTGCTATATTTAAACTCTTGTAAGAGCTACACTGCTATACCTGCTCTACTCTCTGGATTGGGAGAGGTCTACCCACTGGAAGCTGGATCCTGGTCTTGGGTCCAGGGTGGGTGGAGGAAGGAGAGACTCCAGCCAAGCTGTAAAGTGGGGACTACGGTGCTGATGAGGTCTAGTGGAATGCTTGGAGTACTCAGTGGGCACTAGGAAGCAGTGATTAGCAGAGGAACCCCAGGGGTGCCAGGCGGTCATCACAGGTCATCACAGGGGTGCCAGGCGGTCCATCACATCTTCCAAATACACCACCAATAACCATCCAAAACTAAAATTATAAAGTGCAGCGCTAATATGATCAGGATGCACCAAAAGTGAATAAAATTAATGTGGGGTATACCTTAAAAAAACAAAACAAAAAAAAAAACAAACAACTTTCATAAATCACAGATATTTCATATCACACATCCCATGGAAATAGTTACCAAGAAGGAGGAGTTTGCCGCAGTGACTGTCCCATGAGGCTTAACGAAAGCTGGTTTCAGTTTTGACATCTGTTCCATAGAAGATGGGCGGATGCCGTTATCTTTATCCACTGTATTTTTACCTGAAATGATGGGTGGTGGTAATTAGTCGATAGAAATCCTGTAGATAAAAGTGGTAAAAAAAAAAAAAATAGAACTAGCTCTGAGTTCTTTTATAAAAAGTCAGCGCTAAAGGGTCACTCGAAGCGACCACTTCAATGACTGTCTCTATGAAACATACAGAGTCTAACCCCTCTGCTGCCAAGGTGTAACTTAACCTCCAGCAGAGTCATTGGAGCGCCAACCGGAAACACGCGTTCTGGGCTGGATAATGAAAGTTTGGTTTGGGGTCTGCTGGAAAAAAACATGCCTCCCAGATTTACACCCAAGCTTCCCAACACAGTATTAAACACAGAGGAAAATCCACGTTACCTGGGACTTTGTAGGGGATGATGTCAGACAGGAAGCCAGCATCCTGTGCTTTTTGGGCCAGGGTGTGAGAGCGAAGGGCGTATTCATCTTGTTCCACTCGTGAGACAGAGAATGCCGCTGCCAGCCGGTCTGCAGAGTGCCCCATGGTTTCACTGGTTGAGAATTCGGCAACTGCTGGGAGCTATAAGAGAACCAGGGCAATTATTTAAAACTTGCCAGATACAAGCAATCAATCCAGGCAAGAGGTATGTGTGAAACAAGGCTGTCCAGACATGAGCAAGCAATCCAGTCAGGATCAATGTTCACACATTGATAGTCACCAATTTACTAGTATCTAATGGTGTTTCAGTAACAATTCTAAAGAGAACCACAGCAGTAGTTCACAAGGCCTTCTCTGCTCTGCAAACCATAGATTGGAGGCACTGAGTGAAGGTTTCATCTTAACGCAATCTGAGGCTTTAAAATCCCATGACCTGAGAAAGCACATCCAAAAATCCCTAAACCTCTAGATGGACATTATTGTCAGAGTTTGGTGAAAGTTACCTCAGGAGCAAAGAAATCAGGTCGAATTCTGGAGACCACGGAAAGCCTCTGTCCCAGGGTCTTGGCCTTATTGAGACTTAGCATAGTCTTCCTCATCTTCCTGCTGTGGCGAATGGGAACATCAGACATGAATTCCACTCCTCCAGCCACAATCACGTCACACTGACCAGACGCAATAAGACCCACCGCTGCAAACAAATAGAGATAGAGACATTTAAAAAAAAAAATATATATATATATATAGATTATACGTGATCCCTTTATCACTCTCTACAAGCCAATGAAAAGGTATCACTTATAAAGCGGAACTATTTAAGCTGTTCCGCACATCAACAGATAACAGGTGGGGGAAGGCACCAGCAACACCAATTCGGGTTACATACATGCTATGCTATCATCACTCATGAATTCCATGAGCAAAGTGAATGACAGACTGGAAAATCTCGAGTCGGTCACCACAGCCCTCACAAAGGCTGGGCCTCCCACTATAGTACAACCAGCAACAACCAAAACTCAGTTAGCTGTTTCAATCAATTGTTCTGAAACTCTGGACTTTAACCCTGCACATAGGATTCCAGCGCACATTAAGAAAGATTGGGATTGTCACATGGAAATCTTCCCTCAAACAAAGACTAATCATAGCCTTATCGGCACCACACACCTCTGCTACACCAAGTCTCAACTCCCTCATACCCTCCGAGGAGTTTTCACCAAATTACGCCACCAGTGATGATGCCATTCCAGCTATCACTCAAGCAGGACTGGGAGCTTGGTTGAGTAAGACTGATATCATCAATGCTTTCAAACTGCTACCAATCCACCCTACACTTGCACTTACATGGCATTAAAAGGGCAGGCAGTTACTATTTCTTCTCCCGCTTAACTTATGGGTCAAAGAGTAGCCCCAAAATATTTGATATATTCGCTGCAACTCTTTGCTGGTTGTTATTAAACATATCCAGATGCCCCACAGTCATACGCTACCTAGAGGACTTCTTGTTGGTCGAAGAGAACTCCTTTCCCCCCAGAAGCCTCAAGGAAACAATTAGTCTGTTCAACCACCTGGACGTTCCAGTATCCCCTAAGAAAACGGAAGGCCCAGACACTATCATCACATTCCTGGGCATACAACTTGACTCGGCATCCATGCAAGCAAGTTTACCACAAGACAAAATGGTGAACATTCTAACCTGCATCAATCACTACCTTCTGCTAGGTTCATGCAACATTCCGACATGACGATCATAGGCTGTCCCTAGATTCTCAAGCTACACATGTAGAAGAGTTTCTTAACCACATGGAATAGTAAAAGCTTGTTCCTCCCAGGATTGTCTGACACTTCAACCATATGGTCAGACGCGGCGTCTACCACGGGTTTTTTGTGGCAGCTGCCGTGGCATGGGCTAATTTATGGTCAGGGTCATCAGTCCGTTGTTACTCAGACAACAGAGCCACATGTCATTTCATCAACAAGGGCCGCTCATCTCTAACGATCATGAGATTTCTCAAGAAACTCACTTGGTTGGCCGCATGTCACAATTTCTTTTTGGTTTGCTTTCATGTACCAGGTGTTTGTAACATAGCCGCTGACAATTTGTCTCGATTTAAATTCCAGGCATTTCATCAAGCACTTCCTACAGCCGCTCAAGCAGCCACAGCCACTCCTCTGTTCCAACATCTAATCATGGATTAGACGTACTCATGCAACATAGCAGGGAACCGTACCAATTAGTACTTTCATCCAATACTCGTAGGACGTACAACAGAGCCATCACCTTGTTTAAAAGATTGCTATTGGAACACAACATATCCCAACCTTTTATCATGACATCTTACCTGGGTTTTGCTTCTTTTTGCCATCTTAGACTACAACTATCTTACAACACCATTAAATTATATTTGACAGGCATGCAACACCACATTCTAACCCTATGGCCAAACAACCATAGCTTCATGTCATCATACCAGATAAAGAACATACTCAGATGTATTCAGAAATCAGTTTCTACACATACCTCTCAGACAATAGACAACCAAGTTTTCCAATCCTTATCTGACCTATTAGATTTACACCCATTAAATTTAATAGCCTGCTATGTTTTTCTCAGTCCAAGAGAGTTTACTACCATCACCACCACTCAGACAGATAGAGGTCTTCAACGATCCCACCTACGCAAACACATGCATCACTACATATTGACTCTACTACAGTCCAAGACGGGCCAACATGCACCACCAGTAGAAATAACATTATCCTGCCCACAATAAGTAGTGCCCAGTTGCGGTCCTAGATTCACACCTTCAAAACCATTATTTCTATTACAAGGCTCAGTACTTACTACCACTACATTCATGAGATACGTCAGATCTCTGTTAACCCAGCTAAGCCGCAACCCTTCTAACTACTCGGGTCACTCCTTCCATATAGGGGCGGCCTCCACAGCCTCCAGCGCCAACATACCAGTGCACATTATCGAATCACTGGGGCGATGGAAAGCTTCTGCTTACACACGATATATACCCAAACCAGTACAAGAAATAAAGAATGCATTAAAGGAAATGTATCACCGTCAAGCATTCCCTTCTTCCCATAAAAGAAAATCACCCATTAATCCACAGGAATAAATATCGCTGGTATCGCCAAATAATCAACAGATGAGCCAAAGCTTAATGCTGGAACAAGACTGACTATGACTGCATCTGAAGTGCCAGTTTAAAAGCAATAAAGGGTCAGGAACAGCAATATAAGCCTCAAGTATGCCCAGATCAGTTTCTAGAAGGGCAATACATCCCAGGGCCATAGTCGCAGGGCAGAAGGCTGGCAAACAGGCCCCTCCAAAAACCAGTGGTGAGGTTACTTTCGCAACATATCTTCCCTTTGGGGGGGAGGGGGGAGACTAAACAGGTACCTGACCTTCTGTCGGTCAGTACCTAGGTTAGTCGGGCAGCCCACCCACAAAGAAAAATCAGCACCGCAGCCAGACACCCTGCATCCAACACATCCCAGCATGCACCGCACAGCAGCCAGACTCCCTGCATCCAACACATCCCAGCATGCACCGCACAGCAGCCAGACTCCCTGCATCTACCACATCCCCAGCATGCACCACACAGCAGCCAGACTCCCTGCATCTACCACATCCCAGCATGCACCGCACAGCAGCCAAACTCCCTGCATCTACCACATCCCCAGCATGCATAGCACAGCAGCCAGACTCCCTGCATCCAGCACATCCCCAGCATCCCCTTGTTTTACTTGAAAGACCCGCCAAGGTCGAAACGATCAGGACACAAAGTTGATATGAATAACCACATTAAAAATATTTAAAAAAATTAAAGACAGATGAGTGCACTTTTTTTTTTTTTTTTAAAGCAAAGTATATATATATATATATATATATATATATATATATATATATATATATATATATATATATATATATATATATATATATACACACATACACACACACACACACACACACACACACACATATATACATACACACACACATACATACACACACATAAGTAGATAATAACCAGGAGTCGTACCTGTTGTCATTGCCTGATTGGACGATATACAGGCCATGGTGACAGTGTGCGCAGGCGTCTTATCTGAGAATCCAGCGCCAAGAGCAGCCTAGAAAAAACAGGGACATTGTAAGCTATAAAAGGATACACACAGCTTACAGGGCATCTTGTTATAATGCTTGTGACTGGATAGAGGAACACACAGCTTACAGGGCCAGTGACAGGCAATCTTGTTATAATGCTTGTGACTGGATAGAGGAATACACAGCTTACAGGGCCAGTGACAGGCAATCTTGTTATAATGCCTGTGACTGGATAGTGGAACACACAGCTTACAGGGCCAGTGACAGGCAATCTTGTTATAATGCCTGTGACTGGATAGTGGAACACACAGCTTACAGGGCCAGTGACAGGCAATCTTGTTATAATGCCTGTGACTGGGTAGAGGAATACACAGCTTACAGGGCCAGTGACAGGCAATCTTGTTATAATGCCTGTGACTGGATAGAGGAACACACAGCTTACAGGGCCAGTGACAGGCAATCTTGTTATAATGCTTGTGACTGGATAGAGGAACACACAGCTTACAGGGCCAGTGACAGGCAATCTTGTTATAATGCTGTGACTGGATAGAGGAACACACAGCTTACAGGGCCAGTGACAGGCAATCTTGTTATAATGCCTGTGACTGGATAGAGGAACACACAGCTTACAGGGCCAGTGACAGGCAATCTTGTTATAATGCTTGTGACTGGATAGAGGAACACACAGCTTACAGGGCCAGTGACAGGCAATCTTGTTATAATGCCTGTGACTGGATAGAGGAACACACAGCTTACAGGGCCAGTGACAGGCAATCTTGTTATAATGCCTGTGACTGGATAGAGGAACACACAGCTTACAGGGCCAGTGACAGGCAATCTTGTTATAATGCTTGTGACTGGATAGTGGAACACACAGCTTACAGGGCCAGTGACAGGCAATCTTGTTATAATGCTTGTGACTAGATAGAGGAACACACAGCTTACAGGGCCAGTGACAGGCAATCTTGTTATAATGCCTGTGACTGGATAGAGGAACACACAGCTTACAGGGCCAGTGACGGGCAATCTTGTTATAATGCTTGTGACTGGATAGTGGAACACACAGCTTACAGGGCCAATGACAGGCAATCTTGTTATAATGCTTGTGACTGGATAGTGGAACACACAGCTTACAGGGCCAGTGACAGGCAATCTTGTTATAATGCTTGTGACTGGATAGAGGAACACACAGCTTACAGGGCCAGTGACGGGCAATCTTGTTATAATGCTTGTGACTGGATAGAGGAACACACAGCTTACAGGGCCAGTGACGGGCAATCTTGTTATAATGCTTGTGATTGGATAGAGGAATACACAGCTTACAGGGCCAGTGACAGGCAATCTTGTTATAATGCTTGTGATTGAATGTCTGGATAGTGAGTGAGTCAATGCCCAGTACTATTTGAAGCTCCCACTGAAGATTAAACAAGAATCAGAATCACATGACAGAATCCCCAAGTTTAACTGTCCTAGTACACAAACCATTATTCTAAGAGGAGGTGGAAGTAAACAACGCTCCCGGAGTGACCCTCATGAAATAGGCTTCATCTCAAAGTTTGGGAGTGGATCTTCTCCAACAGGGTCACTATTATCAGTCATATATTAAACTGGTTAGAATAAAATGCTGTACATGCAGTGTTAAGAGCTTTCTGTATAGTGTGGATTCATTATAATAGAGTTACATTATTTTATCATAGTGGAGCACAGATAACATTTATTCTGTTTTTATTTGATTGCTGACCAGGGGACCTGGCATAGGTAGAACTGAATCACAGAAAGTCGTGTCCTTACCTCTCGAGCTACATTGCTGGTTTTCACTTCCTGGATAACCGTTCCGTACACAATATAATCCACCAATTCTCTGGGAATATTTGTGCGATTGAGTAAACCCCTAACAAAGGACAACGTAATGCAATCATATATCTGATGAAACGCTTACATTAAACATGTGTGATTCAACATTTCACAAACACGAACACAAATGAACAATAGGGTAATGGACTGCAGGCACATGGATCATTTAGCTTTCTCTGGACTGCGACAGAAGCAAAATATTCACTTTTCAAAAATTTGGTTGAATATAGTAACGAGACACTTCATTCCCCCCCTCCCCAAAAAACCCCAACATGAAAACATTTGTGCATTTAATTATGCATTTTTTTCATTTGTCCATATATCCAAAAACCACGCGCAAAAAAACCCCCCAAAAAAACAAACAAAAACGAACTGCAATAACAGGCTTCCCAGTGCAGCTCTATGAGAAGTCTTTGCAAGGCAGGTTCTCTGGGTAATTGCTGCCTCTTGAGTTTATCTCCACTAAGTTAATCTAACCAGGAAATACCAGGACCAGGTGTCTGACAGCCAGCGGGGTGAATCAAGGTTTAATAAAAATGCAAATTTTTATTGAAATCTGCGCTTTTCAGTTTACCACTTCACACATAAAGCACCTCAAAGCTAACGTTTTTAAGGGGTTTGAAGAGTTTCTTTAACATTACACTTTCCATTATCCTAAAGATCGTTACAGTAAAATAGATAAATCAGATACCTCTCCCTAGAAAAGCAGTGATCCCCCTGCACAACTACCTGTACAATGGAGTATTACTTACTGCAGTGCTGTCCGGGCCAAATCGTGCGGCATTAGGTCTGCATATCTGTAACAGAGTAGATTGGCAATTAGTCAGAGGGTACGTACCATACCTCATGATGTTTGGAACAAAATAGCAAGAAGACAGATCTACGGCAGAGTGATAACTCCTTAATCAGGGAATTAGTAAGAGATTTGCACATATTGCTGTGGTCAGCGGCATAATTATAAGCCATGTGAAATAGCAGCTTTGTATTTTTAAAAATAAATAATGTGTATTGAATGTTTCCCAAAAGATGACCAGACCAAAATAAAATGCCTCTGCAGTTTAGGATCCTTTAGAAAGCAAGTCTATAATGTTTTAGTCTTAAGCACTATTTGAATAATGAAATAATTAGGTGATATGGGGCTCCTTTAAACAGATCCATGCAGGATTAAGGAGCACCCAGCTCCTCGCAGGTGTGGATTTATATAGATTAACAACTAAATGATCAATACTGCAATCTGCAAACCCCAAACGTAATCACTCCGTGATGGCAGAGATTGCATGGTCTGATTAGAAAGAATAAAAATAAAATACAGGATACTAGAAAAAGAAATAAAAAAAGTTTTAGAAATAAATATCCTATTGATTAATTTAGTGATTTGTGAAATGTGTTTATTAATGATTATGTAGATGCCCCTCCCTCCCCCAATTCAACCATTTTATCCTAAATTTTTATACAAGTTTAATATTGCTACAATTGAGTGAATAACTCCAAGAGAATAAAATACAGATTAGTGAACAGCGCACGTACACAAAAATACAGGATTTTAATTTTTCCAAAGTTGAAATTGGTAATTTTAAATAAACTTGTAAAATGTAAAAAACTTTTTTTATGTGTGCGCTCTTGTCCTTAATCTGTATTTTGTATACATTTTGGTCTTTACAGCAGCACCATTTCTGAGTAACGCATGTTCCGAGTGTGCCCCCCCCCAATTTCCCTTCTTTCTTTGCAACTCCCATGGAATAGTCGGCAAGACACAAGTTACAGCTTACGTAGTTCCTGAGAGCAGAAATGGGGTTCGGACACCTTCAACAACTACTACATTCTTCACGCCGGGTTTGGACAAAGTCTTCTTACTTTTTGTTTGGACGGCTGGAAAGGGGAGAGAAATATCAGTTATATCGGTTTGCAAATAAGCCATAAAAGGAAGTTTTAGAAATAGATTAATAGGAAAACACAGACTACAATGAAAGATTAAAGTTGCTCTCTAGTCTACAACTAGTCCCACTATACTAAGGAACTGAATACATGTATCCTGCTCTGGCTTTTAATTAACCCCCATTTCACTCCAGGTTGGGATATGCTCAGTAAATACAGGCAGAATTTGAAAGCGTTGGAGTTTGGGCAAGAGGCAGCACTGATTGAGAAACAATCTCAACATATTCACCAGTTGCTCTTCATGAAAACAAACAGTAATAATATCAGGTGAAGATAAAAATATGAGCTTTATCAAACAGGACACAAAGAATGTCATCTTGGCTACTATGGCAAAACTAAAATTTAAAAATTTCCAATTAGGTAAAACATAATATTTTAATGATATAGATTAGATGCCTCTATATAACAATATTAAATGGAGAGCACAGTAGGCACCAACAGTCTCTAAACCAATCGGACAGAACATTAAAATAGTATCTCTATTCATCAACTACCTCTAGCCCCCCTCTCTCCACAGCATGCCCACCTCTAGCCCCCCCTACTCTCCATAGTCCTCCCACCTCTAGCCCCCTACTCTCCATAGTCCTCCCACCTCTAGCCCCCTACTCTCCATAGTCCTCCCACCTCTAGCCCCCTACTCTCCATAGTCCTCCCACATCTAACCCCCTACTCCCCATAGTCCTCCCACCTCTAGCCCCCCTGTCTCCATAGTCCTCCCACCTCTAGCCCCCCTGTCTCCATAGTCCTCCCACCTCTAGCCCCCCTGTCTCCATAGTCCTCCCACCTCTAACCCGCTCCTACATCTGGAATATTTTTATGATACAAGGTGACTAGCGATTGCAGAAGTCCAATCTACGACATTACATTACCTGGAGCCTGGAGATGTGCGGAGGAGCTAAGGCATCGGACAGCTGGAAAACATAGTGAATAGAGAAATACAGTTACAATGTCACAAGCACCAAGCTGATCTGAATGATGTGACAGGAATAATGCCCTATTTCCATCAGTCGTAACAGAAATAAAATAACATTGTAAATCTGTAACAAGCACCAAACTGATCTAAATAGTATGAGAGGAATATCGCCATTATTTTAACACACTACATATCCTCAGATGATCGATGACATCTGTTTCTCTTTACAGGACGTTACAATGTCAGGTTTCTGTTATAGAGCAGTTCCTACATATACTGTATGGGGATTAGACTTTGCATTTATGATTTCAGGAGGTCTTCAGTCCGTGTGCAAGTATTGCAGCCAGGGATTACGGTCTTTCAGGTCCGTATTAACCTTTGGGCATTTTCCCTTATTTTGAGGAACCTTACCAAATCTGGAAGCTCCAGGTAGGCTTCTGGTGGTCTGTCTCAACATGAAGGCCATTGTGCAATCTAGAATGAATAAAAATGTATATATTCAGTGTTAATTACTCACACACAAACCGGTTCATACAGATACTGAGTGATCTGGGCAGAAATACAGTTTGATTCCCCTTTCCCACTGATTGCTGGCCATTTTTCCAGTGTAACATTATGGCTGTTGGGATTGAAGGTCAGCCGCACAGTTTTATCTTTTTACAGATTCACTTGTATGCGTTTCACTTTCAAACTGCTGGCAGAGCGTACAAAGCCAACACAGAATTGGATTTTTATAATTTGACACTGAAACAGAAGTAGGACACTGCAGACACGGCGGTTGATTTAAATGTGAGTTTTCTTTTCTTACAAACTTGCTGCCAGACCACCAGGCCTGTGTGTGCAGCTCTGTGTGATGGGTACCCTCGCACGATGCCGAACCCACCAAACTCTTAGCGTATTATTATTTATATAGCGCACTTTAGATTACGTTTCTACTATACACGAAGCACTGTATTAAAATACTAAGAGAGCATGTTTGCATTGTGTAATAAAGAGCTATTAAACATGTGTGGGCCCAGAATACGTTATAAGATTTCTAGCAGTGGATTTCATTTATTCTCCTCCCTTCCCCCTCTATAACCTTTACCCTACTTCCTGAGTGTGGGAGGGAGATATAACCTTTCGCCCAATTCTTCAGGCCCACAGTGCCTGGCCTGGGATATAACAGGCATTATGCAGGACAAGGTCACAGACTAATTCAAGGACAGTAAGTTTCACCCATCCCCTATATCCTGGACTTTCTCTTATCACACCCATGGAATCCATGTTTCCGAGCAGCCCTCAAACCCCTCCCAAAATCAAGTCACAGTGTGGCAGAGGAATACCTGCCAACCCCTACTTTCCAAGGTTATATAGGAAAATCCTTGGGACAACCTGTGTTTTCAGTAACAGTCACGGTTCTCAATTCTACATCATTTGGATCAAATCTAAATACCCCAGGTGCTGACACAGGCCTGCGGAGCGTAAATACCCCACAGGGCTGCCAGCGGCCTGCGGAGCGTAAATACCCCACAGGGCTGCCAGCGGCCTGCGGAGCGTAAATACCCCACAGGGCTGACACAGGCCTGCGGAGCGTAAATACCCCACAGGGCTGCCAGCGGCCTGCGGAGCGTAAATACCCCACAGGGCTGACACAGGCCTGCGGAGCGTAAATACCCCACAGGGCTGACACAGGCCTGCGGAGCGTAAATACCCCACAGGGCTGACACAGGCCTGCGGAGCGTAAATACCCCACAGGGCTGACACAGGCCTGCGGAGCGTAAATACCCCACAGGGCTGACACAGGCCTGCGGAGCGTAAATACCCCAGGGGCTGACAGCGGCCTGCAGAGCGTAAATACCCCAGGGGCTGACAGCGGCCTGCAGAGCGTAAATACCCCAGGGGCTGACAGCGGCCTGCAGAGCGTAAATACCCCAGGGGCTGACAGCGGCCTGCACAGGACAGTGGAGACCAGAAAGAGCATGAAATCCATAAAATTCTACTCACAACTGCAATAATAAATACACAAAGATCAGAAACTGCCACAACTTCAAAACAAATTGACCAAGACATGGGCAACTAATTCATTAATTCCTAATGAATATACCAAAATAAATAGAAACCATCAAGAATGATTCTTTCTGCAGATTTCACATCTAATGACAATTGTAACGGAACCGCTGGCACCCCGACCTGGTACCTTCCGTTGATGGATGCTCCCAGTGCTTCCCGAGGACTCCAAGCACCATAACCACTACAAACACCACAAACCGCCGCAGCTTGGTTGGGGTCTCACCGTCTCCACCCACTCTGGACCCAAGACCAGGGTCCAGCTTCCAGTAGGTCCACCTCTCCGAATTCTAGAGAGTAGGCACAGGAACAAGCTCTTAGCAGAGCTTAGTGATTATACCCTGGGGAGTATAGTGATTATAGCAATCCCCAGAGTGTAGTTCTCCAATCCCCCAAACATGAGCCGAAACTTCATGAAAAGTACAAGATGATATGACTCCAATGAGCGTTTATTACTCCTTATATAAGTTTTCAGGTCAGAAGCTCACCACCTGGACCTGGTGGTAAACTGTGACAAAAAGGGACACAAACCAATGGGAACACTAATTAACATAATAACACTCCCACATACACAATGAAATCCCTCCTCTCCATCCTGGAGATAATTGGCTTAAGGCACTGCAGTAAACTCAATTATCTCCAGGTACAGAAAATATCTACATTTTACACTAACAGCAAAAATACGTAAAAGTACATGAAAATTCATAATTCTTATTATATTACACAGAACCACCCCCTGTTGAGAAACCAATGAGGGACAAAAGCAGTCAGTTCCAACTGGTTTGGCAGTGTGCCTGGGACAACGCCCTGCTGGAGAACAATAGACAGGAAACGGGGGAGGGGGAAAAACACACCTTCCCATGGATTCAAATGGGCAGAAACAGTCTTTAGAAGCCAATAAGCCCCAAATAGCCTGTGAGGAACTGACTCTGCTGGGTTTCGAACCCTGGTTTACATGGTGCTAAACCTTTTCCTTACCAGTACACCAGCCTGCCTTTTGCAAATTTACCTGAGATCTTATACCATTGCTTGTAGAGTCAAGGTTATCAGTGACAACTCTCTTCAGCTGTGTCTGGTCAGGTGTCTGGTTCTTGGCCTATAAAAGCCACTTCCTGTCTCTGTACCTTTGCCAGATTATTGTGGTTCCTGTACTCTCTAATCAAGCGTGTTCCTGTTTCTCCTTCCTGTTGCTGAATTTGGACTGTTTTGACTTTGCTGCTTCTCCTTCCCACTGACCTCGGCTTGCCTCACTACGATTATCATCTTTCTGTTCCAGTCTCCCATCTCTGCTTAAGACCAGAAGGCCACTCAAGGCTCAGGGGCTCAACCACCTGGGTAACGAGTGGCTACCTCTGGCAGAAAACATTGCTGATCTGGCTACTGGACTCCAAAACTTTGTAACATCAATATCATTACAGAATAATCTGGCCCATTCATGGAGACCGTCGGATCAGATTCTGCATTGGCCCAGCAGGTTGCTTTTAATGCAAGAACTATGCAGACCCAGGCACAGACCATTCAAGTGCTGCAGGATCAGGTAGCTGAACTGCAAAATGAAGTTCGATCAATGCATAGTGAGCTTACCAGCTACAGGGCACATGATGTTGCGGCTGCTGCTACTACTACTGTTACACCTGCACAAGATGCCCGCTTGCCTCTACCAGAAAAATTTGGAGGAGACCGCAAAAAATTCAGGGGTTTCCTAAATCAATGCCGTTTGCATTTCATGATGTTACCTAACCGTTTTCCATCTGAAAGAGAGAAGGTGGGATTTATTTTTTCCCTCTTCAAAGATGAAGCCCTGGCCTGGGGCTCCCCTTTTCTGGAACAGGACAGTCCAGTCTTGGGAAATTTAAAAGACTTTCTTGAGGCCATGTGCCTAGTTTTTGATGATCCCAATCGCTGTGCTACAGCAGAAGCCACTCTCCTTCATTTACATCAAGGGAGGCGCTCTGTGGCTGAATATGCTGCTGAATTCAGACAGTGGGTTACTGATACTACTTGGAACCAATCAGCCCAGAGGTTCCACTTCAGAAGGGGTCTCTCAGAAGCTATAAAAGATGAGCTAGCTCGTGTTGATCTTCCTGTTGAGTTTGATGCATTTGTGCGGTTGGCTATCCGTATTGATCGGAGACTTTCAGAAAGAAGATTGGAAAGACAGGGCTCTTTTAAACCAAGTGCTACTCCTACTTTCTATTCAAGAATTTCTACTCCGACCCCACAAACACCTACAGACTCTGAACCTGAGGCTATGCAGGTAGATCTAATAAGAGGGCCATTATCCAATGAAGAAAAACAGTGGCGACGCACTCACAACTTATGCCTGTATTGTGGTAGTGCAGGGCATTATGCCATCAATTGCCCTAGCAAGTCTAAAAGAACAATAGCTATGACTGCTGAGGGTGCACAGATTCAACACCAATCCCAGATTTCAGACCAACTGGATTCTGTCACACAACCCTTGTTTTCTCTGGCTCAGGGTGAAGAAGGTATGATGACTCAACATCCTCATTTGGTGGTGCCTATCACTTTGCAATATGGTGATAATAAAATTTCAACTACAGCTATGATAGATTCCGGAGCAGGCGGAAACTTTATGGACATTAAATTTGCAGCAGGAAATGAAATTCAGTCTATCCCTAAATCTTCACCTGTGTTAATGGAAACAGTAGATGGTTCTCCACTTACGTCAGGCCCGGTTACACATGAGACTGTGCCCTTAAAATTGATTCTGGAAGTGAATCACCATGAGTCTATATCTTTCCACCTAATTTCCTCAACACAGTTTCCAGTGATTTTGGGTATACCCTGGCTTGCTCTGCATAACCCACAGATTGATTGGAAGACTAGAACTTTGTCCTTTCCTTCAGAACACTGCTTAATGAATTGTCAACCCTCTAAGGCGACACCTGTTACCACAACAATTAATGAAATGGTTGCTACAAACTTAACTAAGCTTCCGCTACAATATCAGGATTTTGCAGATGTCTGTGATAAGAAGAATGCTGATCAGCTTCCACCTCACAGGCCTTATGATTGCCCCATAGAGCTGCTACCTGGAGCTGCTATCCCATTTGGCCGTATATACTCCCTTTCTGAGCCTGAATTGAAAGCACTTCGTGAATACATACAAGAAAATCTTGCCAAAGGCTTTATTCGACCATCCACTTCTCCAGCAGGAGCTCCTATATTCTTTGTAGAAAAGAAAGATGGCAGTCTACGGCCATGTGTTGATTACAGGGACATTAATAAAATCACTGTTAAAAACCGTTATCCTTGCCTCTCATTCCTGAACTTCTGGAGAGACTTCGTTCAGCTAAAATATTTACGAAGCTTGATCTACGGGGGGCATATAATCTGGTTCGCATAAGACCAAATGATGAATGGAAAACAGCTTTCAGAACCAGGTACGGACATTACGAATATCTAGTAATGCCATTTGGGCTTTGTAATGCCCCTGCAACTTTTCAGCATCTAATCAATGATGTACTACGGGA